TGTTATGTTTTGGTATAATATTTCTGACTTTACAGGAAAAAATGTTTTATTTTGGTCAATCTTGAAATGTTGTAGATTACTGTTCATAGGCTTTTGTAACGTGATTTTCTACAGTGTTATTCAGCTGACACTAACACACTTGTGCCCTTGAATTCTGTTCACACTAATGCTAATACTAATACTGGAGGGAGGATTGGTTCAAACAAAGTTTGGTGTTTTACCAAGGTCCTCCCTTGGCATTGACAGAAAAATATTCATAGTACTTTGGTATTTGGATGGAATTTTTACAAAGGCTAAGTTTTTATAGTTGACTTTTGCCAATTAGAAATTGTTTACTGCTAAGCTTATTCTCTGTTCCTTTTTGAATAAACACATAAGAGAATCATAGAGGGCTGTTTTTCATTATGAAATTGATAGTTTATTACATATTTTACAGAAATCATTCTATTAAACTCCAGAAAAATAAATTTAGGATTAACCATTCTATTAAAATAAAGTTTTATTTTCTTAATATCTGTTCTTAAAATCATATGTATTTGGTATGTGAGTAGATTATAATAATTCAAGATTTCTGTATTGTTCTAAAATGACCTATGGAAAGAAGAAGCTTTATGAAGTAATGGGAACATCATGGAGAAAATTATTGTAATTATAGTGAAACTACAAATAATAAATAAACCTTCTCCATCACTTAAAGGAACAAGCCCCAGCTTTTCAGTTAAGAACTGATAGTCTGTGGTCAGGTAACCTTTCTAGCACTAAAGACTATAATTGCTTGTTTCTTCCTGTGCTCATACTTATAATACTTCTGACACCAGATATGTGACGTTTTTTCCCCCCACACTCGACCAATTCTCCAACACCAGCTGGGTGTTCTACAATTCTGATACCATCTACCTGGAGTTAGCATCAGACCCCACAGGCTAAATGCTCAGTCCCATAAGATTGCCCCTACCTTAGACACCAATCACAAGTAGTGGGTCCCCAGGTTACCCACATTCTGTCTGACTTGGCTACAACAAATTGGGGTTCTCAAGACCCCCTCAAGTTTGATAATTTGCTGTAATGGCTCATAACTCAGGGAAACACTTACTTTTACTGTTTTATTATATAATAAAGACTATGATAAAGTATGTACAGCCAGATGGAGAGGTATATAGAGCAAGGTCTGGAAGGGTCCCAAGCCAGGAGTTTCTGTTATGTGGAGTTGGGGTGCACCACCCTCCTAACATGTGGATATGTTCACCAACCTGGAAGCTCCCCAAACCTTATATTTTAGGGATTTTTATGGAGGTTTCATCAGGTAGGCCTGATCAATTATTAACTTAATCTCCAGTCCTTATGTCTCCCTGGAGGATGGGAGGTAGGGCTCAAAATTCCAAGCTTCTCATCATGGCTTAGTCTTTCTGATGACCAGTGGCCCATCCTGAAGCTATTTAGGAACCCCCCAGAGTCAGCTCCTTGGAGCAAAGTATGTTCCTATCAAGCTAGGAAATGCCAAGTGATATAGGAGCTCTATGTCAGGAACTGGGTCAGAGACCAAATATTAGAACAAAAGATGCTCCTAGTGTCTTATCTTGCTCTTTGAATGGATTGTTTATCCATGCATGACTTAATAACACAGTGCATTGGTAATTTGGAAAAGGTTTCCTTCCAAATGTTGGAAGAAAGTCTACATTATAAAACAAATAGAAATTGTTAATATCACTCGATTTCACCAGAAAAGCCTTTAAGTATTGGGAAGATGTCAGGCTCATAGTGGTAGAAACAAGTTTTCTGAAGTTTCAATTTTTGCTTGAAAATTCCATGCTAATCATTGGCAACAAATACTCTTCATTTGTTCTTCAAGTGACAGGCTCACTTTATTTTTCAGAAAATGTCAGCCAAATACTGATGTCTGAATAATCATAGTTTGTAGTTTGTCAGTTGTTCTTTCAAGTAAAAATAGTGCTCCATGAAAAAGAAATCAGTTCAGCTTGCAACTCAAGCAGGGTTCTAGTGTTTTTCTTTACCAACAGCATACCTTGGATATACAGCAGAACTACTATGCATACTTTCTGTTTTGTCACATAGAATTAAAAGGACATGTAAAACAATGTTTGAGATTTAATAAAATTAGTTTCCTCATTTTATCAAGAATATAAGAGAGACCGGCTTTTTTTTTTTTTTTGCATAATGGGTGTGCATAGTTGTAATATAATTAACTTGATGCTACTGCCTTGATTTGTGCTAAGATGCTGTGGTTTTATGCGCTGTTGTTTTGCATAATCACTGCAAATGTGACCCCAGTAGGAAAGGCAAATAACATCTTAGTATTATTATGAGAGTATTTTTTATTTAAGGAAGCCCTTCCTTCATAGGGTCATTGGGGATCCCAAGGATCCATGGATTACACTTGGATACTGCTAGTATGGAGGAAAGACCGCTGGACTTAATAATTTGAAGACTTAAAGTTGAAGCCTGAGTGCCATTCTTTATTCTTATACTATTAGAATTCATTCCTTGCAACTTCATTATCTCATTTGTGAAATAGGGTTAAAAGCATCTTGCCTAGTTTTTTGCTTTTGTGTTGCTTGAGTTACGATTGCTAAATTATGAAAAGTTCTAAGTATAACTTCTTGCCATTTCTAGGTGAGTTCTGCTCTAGCCAGTTTGGTTTACTTGTCAGTCATGAAACAGTAAACACTCTAGATAGTTCCAAAGAAGAAATTTAATACAGGGAACTAGGTTCTTAAAAAAATCAGTGGAAGCAATGGAGGAAGGATCTCTAGCTCAGCTTTCTGAAATGACTCCTAGATTCTTGCAGGACTGGCCAGCCAGGGAAGCCATTCCGTCTGCCACAGTCAGGAAGATAGTGAATCAGGAGACTGCCTTTGGGACTACAGGGTTCAAGAGCGTACATAGCTCTATAGCTGCTGCCCAGGGAACAAGCAGCCAGGATTAGGTAACTGCCACTGAGCTGTGCCTGGGCATTGGAGTGCAGAGTCTGGTTACCACTTCTACTCTATCTCTTGACATACCTGAAGCTGTAAATTGGATACTGGATTGCTACTGTGGAACAGCCCACATTTCTTCAGTCATGCTGGAGAAAAACAGCCAAAAGCAGCAGGATAGTGGCTTCCCCCCTCAAGTCTGCCTTCCAAATCTCATGCTAATGCATCCGATTGGTGGAACCTAAATTTTATCCAGAACCATAACTGCAGGTGAGTCAGGAAAATAGGTTTGTTTGTTTTAATCTTTTCAGCTTCTGTAGTTGTAGAAGGCACACAAGGAGAATGAGAGATTGGAGTCTGAGGGCTAATTGATCGTGTCCCCAAAACCTGTTTTTCTGCTTCTTTGTGATTTTCAAGTTATTTTCTTTACTTCCATTATTCTCTCTTTACTCACCCAAGTTCTAGTCATTATTTAATGAGCATGATAGTTCTCATTTTTATGAGGCCACTTCATGCCTCTCCAGTCCTAGCTTCTTTATCAATATTTCAGCTGGACTGAATGACTACACCCAGGTGATATCCATCTACAGCTGTGGTTTGGTGGACTCAGAATTTGTAAACCAGAATTAGGAAACCTTTGGCCTGCTGACGTACGTATGCATGCTCCATCATTTCACTTGCTCTATAACTCTGTTCCACATTTTACTTGACTTGAGTTTTTTGGACCTTACTTACTACATTTTTGTGAGGTTTTGTTATACTCTCTAAGAACATTAAAAAAATCTTCCGTGGCCAACTGTTATTTTTAATATTCTCATAAACTGCTGTTTGGAGAAAAAAGTGTATATAACAATAGAAGTAGACTTTTGAAACTATCAATATACTTTAATTTTATTAAGTGCAAAATATTTTTTTTCTAGTAGTTATATATAATCCTGTAGCCAGATGGTAAAATGAAGACACTTTATCTCCCATCCCCAACCCTTTTGTTTGTTTCTCTCTTATAATATTCTAAGATTACAAAGAAAAAAATTAATTTTAACATGTCTCGAATACAAATAAACAAAATGATTATAAAACTTGTCCAGGATACCAACCAGCATAATCCCAACTATGCAAAGATAAGGTAGTAACAGCTATACTTCTTTCTCTTTCTCATCCCATTATTTTGTAATATCCTACTTAGTAACATATTATGGTCTATCATTGTTTAAATGATAATAGGAGTATAATTGACATCTTTTGAGGTAAGGAAATAAATCGATGTATATTGGGAAATTGGATTAAAAATCAGTTTTTTTGAATGTGGTAATAGTTGTAGACTTTATTCTTTGGAAGAAGAACACTTACAGCATCTAGACTACTTTATTTTATTCTAACAAAAGAAAACCTGTCATTTACTTGCATATTTTTCTTTTTTGTGAAATGAAAACTTTTTTTTAATTAAAAGGAATGCATAGAACATTAAATAGAAAGTGAGAGCTCCTTATACTTCCTTCTCCCCATAACCCTCCTCATCAAAATTAACCACTGTTAACAGCTTCATACATTCATTCAGACTTTAAAAGTGTATATAAACATAGATATATATGGTCAGTTAGTTTCTGAAACATAGTTTTTGAGAGCTCATTTAATTATTATACTTTAATAAATGTCTAGGTAGTATAGCCGACTGTAATGTGTGTGTATTTGGGTTGACTTCAGAAAGCATAAATGTAAATGTTTAATTATGTTGGCTTCAGTTTTTGTTAAAGAACCTGTTTTTAGCAGTCTTTCTGCTTATTAGCTTTTAATCAGAGACTTCATAGTAAATATTGAGATCCCTCTGTAATGAAAAATATTTATACTCTTAATTGCTTTAGGTATATTTTATAGAGAAGAACATTAAATTTCAAAGTATAACCAATTTAAAAATGTTTGCATTCTCTTCAGAGAGGCTCTTATACAGAATTAAGTTGGTGCTGACTTTGATTGGAAAGGGTATATTGGGTATAAAATCTCCATTATAAGAATTACCTTTCATTTTGTTTGACTTTTAATTTTGAGAAAGATAGTTTTGCTTTTCAGATGTGATTGATCTCACTGGAGATGATAAAGATGATCTTCAGAGAGCAATTGCCTTGAGTTTGGCGGAATCAAACAGGGCATTCAGGGAGACTGGAATAACTGATGAGGAGCAAGCCATTAGCAGGTAAAAATATAATTTGTATAAAGTAGATATAAATACTATTTATAATAGAAATAATAATTGACTTTAATTTGAAGAGGCACAAAGATATAGTTTGCAATTCTAAATAAACTATTAATAAACTTAGTATTGTTTTTATATTTTATGTAACCCAGATTTTCTTATTCTAGATCCAATTGCATTTGAAACCTAGATTGTTTTTAGGATTTTGGAGTGGCATTGTGGGGCATTAAATTTAGGTATATATTTTAATATTTCTTTGATTTTTTTCTTTCTTCCCCTAATTCCTTTTGGATACATTGTCCAATTCAATTTCTAGTCATTTATGGCCAGGGTCAACAAACTTTTTTCTGTAACGTGCCAGTGGTAAATATTTTAGGCTTTGTCAGCCATCTGGTTTCTGTTGTAGTTGCTCAACTCAAGTGCTGTAGTGTAAAAGCAGCCATCGATAATGCATAATTTAGTGAGTGTGGCTGTGTTCCGGTAAATCTCGATTTACAAAAACAGGGCCAGCAGGATTTGGCCCATGGGCCATAGTTTGCCAACTTCTGATCTATATTTATAGGTGTTTTTTTTTTTTTTTTTTTTAAGAAATAAGCAAGATTCCAAGATGTGTGATGGAATGCATCTTTTTTTTTTGTGGTACGCGGGCCTCTCACTGTTGTGGCCTCTCCCGTTGCGGAGTACAGGCTCCGGACGCGCAGGCTCAGCGGCCATGGCTCACGGGCCCAGCCGCGCTGCGGCATGTGGGATCCTCCCAGACCGGGGCGCGATTCTGCGTCCCCTGCATCGGCAGGCGGACTCTCAACCACTGCGCCACCAGGGAGGCCCTGGAATGCATCTTTTGATTTAATTACCAAAACTTTTTAGTTTGAAAAAATTTGATCCACCAAAGGATTAAATAAGTTTGATTTAAAAAATAAAACTTTAAATTATAACTAAACATAATCTTCTAAACAACTCTTTGGAGCCAATGGTAACTTTATCTTACTGAAGAAGAAATTTGTCTTTTAAGAGGTTAAATGATTTTCCAAAGGTACACAGCTAAGATGGGTCTTATGACTCCAATGTTCTTTTCCCCTGTTAACAGAGTTGTTTGGTAGCAGAATGTACCAGCTTTCTTAGATAATTTCCCTTGGCACAATATTAATAGTACATTTCTTTCTGAGTAATCTGAGATTACTGTAGGAGATGCCTCAAAATGCTGTGTGTAGCAAAGGCACATAATTTTTTGTAGTAATACTTTTTAATGTCTTTGTTACTTTGGAAACTGCTTTGTATAATAAGATATAAAGATGGCAAGCCTTAATTAAAATTCATTATCCTCTTTAGTTGTGGCTAATATCATTTAATGCCAATAATTTTAAATGAAAACCAAAAGCACATGTGCTATTTTTAGATATTTTATTTAGACTTATTTTTTGAAGGATTTGGAGAAATTATAAAGTTAGATTTTGTCTTATAAAAATGAATTGGAATGAAATATTTGTCTTGAATAATTATAAAATTTGAAAATACTTAAGCTTTATGAGAAATATTTTAAACATGAAATACATCAGTTGCAATTCATATTTAAGGGGAATGATAATCTAGTATGTGAAAAAGAGATTATAAAATAGAATATATACTATGATACAAATATTTTAAAATGTGTATATATATTGTTATATATATTAATTTATATTAGTACATAAATAGAAAAAAGTCTGAAGGGTTATATACCAAGTAGTGTCAGTAGTTTTGTATCCTGTGTTTTCTAATTAAAATAATATAATAATTAGATAATCAGTAAAAATAAATAAATAAATAAAGTTAAGAAATTTAGATTATTCCTAATCTCTATTACGTACAATATATGTTATATATTCTTTAAGATACTAATTTTTGTCCAAATGGAAAAAAAATCTCTTTAAGTTAATGCCCTTTTTTTCCCTTGATCTTTTAATTTTAGTATACTCTTAAAATAGTAAATATTTTGCAAGTATTTTTATTGTAGATAGCATTGCAGAGAATTGGTATATTGTAATATAACAAAATTTTATGTAAAATTATGCTCAGAAGTAAAAAAAAAATTAATTTACTGTTGCAAAATGTAATTTTTTCCTTGATATGCATAGATTTTATAATATATAGTTAACAAAAAAGTTAACTGCAACATTCAATAAATAAGCACATTTATAAATCATATTGTATTAGAAATAAGGGAATATGAGAATTCTAGTTAAGCATTTGACAAATATAACATTGCAGTGAGTTTTATTAAGGCTTAGGCTCTAAATTCAAAAGGGAAAATGGTGAATTTTTTAAGGAAAACATTATACTTAAAAGTAAATTTATTTGTTCATTACCTAGTAAGTTCAGATGACAGAATCTTGCCAAATAAAATCCTAGAATCATTTGGCTATGGTTGTATTTCAGTATACATACTTTAATATGAATTCACACATTTGCGTTATTGTGTACAACTAGATGAGATAAAACCTTTTTACATCTTACAATCTTGTGTTCAGGCACCCATAAATTTCATGGTAAAATTTCTTAAGTTGAACATTTTAGTAGTGTACTTCTTAATATAATTACTTCTTAATGTCAGGATTGGATGCATTTATTATAATTATCTTAGTTATCACTGCACAGACAGGGAACAAGTAGAGTATGGATTGTAGAAATTTGTTAATAAACTGCATTGTGGCTAGTTTGTGTCTAGCATATTTGTTGTGAAAATGGCTTGCCTCATGAAATGACTTTGAATAAGTTGGGTAGAAGGTAGGGCTAGGTTCTAGTTAAAATTGTTACAAAGAGCACACCTTCAACAGTTTCAGGAAACATGGTAGACTAAAACAGATTTTCTAGTGGAAACAACCAGAATGTGTTGTTTCTGTTGGATGTAAAATATTTTAAGATCTCTTGAAAGTATTATAGAATTGTTAAGATAGTAAGGGCTATAATCAGACTAAATCAAAGTGAAAGGTGGAACCCAAAGAAGTAAGTTCGGAATGCTGAAAGTCACTTTTTGACATGATGACATTTGCTTGTGTGTATAAATTTGAATTTCAGTTTTGATATCCTTGTTGAATGTGGGAAGAAGAAGTTAAAGGCCATTGTCTATATTAGGTGGGAAGCTTTAATAAGAAATCATTCCCCTCGTAAAGTTATGTCAGTGGATGAAATATTCACAAATATGGGTAAATCAGGACTATCCCCCCCTCTGAAACCCCTATAACACTACAAAGACAGTTGCCATAGCTATGAGGAGTGTTGTTGGAGGGGATGAGATTTGCTCCTGAGAAGTTGTACCATGGTTGTACAGCTGAAATTTGTGTCACTTTAATGATTCAATAAATCTCTACTTGAAAAAGTACTGTGAAAATATCTTCTAGAAATGAAAATAAAAATTACTAAATTAAAAAAAAAGGAAAAGAAAAAACAGAACACAGGTTTAATAGCAGATTAGAAATAGCTGAAGAATGTATTAGTAGACTGTAAGCTATATGAGAAGAAATTATCCAGTATGTAACAGATAGCTAAAAAGTTAAATAATATGGAGAAAGGTTGAATGACACGGAGAATAAAATGAGTAGGTCTAATATACATTAATTGGTGTTACAGAAGAAGAGGAGGGAGTGAGTCAGAGGCAAAATTTAAAGTGATAATCACAGAATTTTTTAGAAGTGAAGAGATAACTTGTAATTTCATGAGCCAACAAATCCCAATCAGAAAAATGAAAAGAAACCCACACATAAATTCATTATAGTGACACTCCAGAATACTTAAGACTGGGAAAATCTTAAAATTACTCAGAGGAAAAAGGTAGAATTATCCTAAAAATAGTGACAGTGAAAGTGACAAATGACACAAATTTACATAGCACTTAGACACATGAAAATAATAAGTTCGACAAGTTAAAAGTGGACAAGTTGCCATGTTGGGTCTGATGATAGATTATAGCAGTGGTGGTAGTCTTTGTGGTGCAAGTTTGATGAGTCACCTCATTGGAGAACAGCCACCACTATATATCCAACACAATGGCTAAAATTAAAAAGACTGACAATATCAAATGTTGGCAAGCATGTAGAGCTATTGGAAGTGTCATATATTGTTCGTAAGAATGTATAATGGTACAGCCACTTTGGAAAACTGGGAATTTCTAGCGTATTTCAACATATATTATGCTAGGACTTAGCATAGTCCACGTTTCCACTTCTAGGTATAGACCCTTGAGAAAGAAGCACATAGTGCCTTTATTGATAATAACTAAAAACTGTAAACAACCAAATATCTGTAAGAGCAGAATAGTTAACAGTGGTTGTATATTCACACAGTGGAATCCTAAGCAATGTAATGGAAAACATTTTCCTGGTAATTTAAAAAATGTGGAGGAATCCACAAAGTAACATGTTGAGTGAAAGAAACTTGACACAAAAGAGTAACTGCTGTGTGATTCCATTTATGTGACGTTTAAGGACAAGCAGAACTAGTTTATTGTGGTAGAAGTCAGAATGGTTATTATCTGAGAATTAGAGAGACACTATTGATTGGGAAAGGGCATGACAGAATTTTGGGGAATAATAGAAATTTTCTATATCTTGGTCTGGGTGGTGGTTACATGTGGGGTGGTATTCATTGGTAACAATTTCACTGAACTATACATTTAAGGTTTGTGTTTCTTATTATATGTAAATCACCTCAATAAAATACTCTTACCAAGAAAAGATGTATTTAGCCCTGTTGGTTGATAATCAGTATACAAAAGGTTATGTTTTTATGTATAAGAAAGAATGATAAGGAGAAAATTTTAAAAGCTACCATTTATAACACATAAAACTATTAAAGACCAGGAATAAATCTAATAAGTGTGCAAGAACTTCTAAGAAGAAAATTATAAAATAACAGAGACATATTAATGAATATGGAAATAATTGGAAATGTATTCTGTTTCACAAATTGGAAGACTGAATATTGTAAAACTGGTCAGTTCTCCTTAAATTAACTTATGGGTTTAGTGTGATCACAATCAAAATACCAATAGATTTTTTTTTAAAGGAAATGTAGAAGATGAATATTCCCTTCGTCCTTTCCTCCCTCCCTCCCTCCCTCCGTCCCTTCCTTCCTCCTTCTCTTCCTTCCTTCCTTCCACCTTCTTTTTTCTTTTCTTTTTGGTTGATCTGTATAGCTTAAATGATATGCATGTTTTCCAGTGAGTATGTTGCTTGCTTGAAATAGACTTAGATCATCCAAAGTGGAATATTTTCTATAATGCAGTTTAAATAACAATACAAAAGAAAACAAGCAAAAAAAAGCCCTCAAAATCAGTACGATAAAATTCTACTAGGAACATGAACACTTACCATAAGTAAGTGCTTTAAAGATTCATTCAATATAGTGTGTGGAAGGAAAAGAGACAGCAAAACATTTTGTCATCTTTTTATATTGTTGAATGCCATGGTCATGACTAGTGTTGAGAAGATAAGGTGATTGTAGTTGGGGTTGGTATTTGGGGCTTTTGGGCTTGCCTTTTTCAGTATGCTATATTTTGTTCTAAGCTATTTCTGAGCTCTGAGATTTGCAGTGTTATTTTTTTATTCTCTCTACTTGCGGCTTTAATATCTGAAATGTAGCTATTGGCATACTTTACACTTTAAAGCCTGGGTAGAATCATTGGCTTTACTTTGTTTGGTGAGGCCAGGGAAGGAACCCTTATGAGGACTTGCCTTTATATAAAGCTTATATTAATATGCCAGGACTGGACTACAGCATAGGACAAGGGCTTGGGAATGGAGGGCTCATATTTGGGCTAGAGGTTGGGCTTTTGCCAAAAAAAAAAAAAAGAGATAGCAACATCTAATATTTTAATATTCCATCTCTACTTCAAACACTTGTTTAGCCCCTGTTTTTGTGTGTGTGTGTGTGGGGTACGCGGGCCTCTCACTGTTGTGGCCTCTTCCCATTGCGGAGCACAGGCTCCGGACGCGCAGGTTCAGCGGCCATGGCTCACGGGCCCAGCCGCTCCGCGGCACGTGGGATCTTCCCGGACCAGGGCACGAACCCGTGTCCCCTGCATCGGCAGGTGGACGGACTCTCAACCACTGCGCCACCAGGGAAGCCCTAGCCCCTGTTTTTTGTTTTTGTTTTTTTTAAATCATGTATGCTCTAGGGATGAAACAAATCCATGTTTCTATCCTCTGGTTGCTGATGGGAGAGACTGGTTGATTAATAATTTTGTGCAGTGTAATAAATGTATTTATAAAGTCTTTTAGGATCTAGGAGGAAGTGGTAGGAGGAAACCTAACTGGAGCATGTTGTAAGTCCTTGGTGATTAAAAAACTAAATGTGTTATAAGCTCTAAGTGAAGAAGATCACAAAGTCATGGCATTCTTTCATCTACTATTTTTAGTACCATAATTCTATCATATTACCATATGTTTAAGGAATATTATAATCTACTTCTTTAAAACTCATGCTTTTATTGTAATGAATGATGATCTCTACCATATGACTGAATTGAGTTATATGAATATTTAATTATGTACATTTAAGTATGTATACCCACCCACCAAAAATAAATGTGGTTTAGAAATGGATACTTTAAAAAATTTTTATATCTTTAGGTCACTTTGAGAAATAGTGAACATGTATGTCTTAAGCTCTACTCAGTTATTACAGTTTGTATGTAATTTTACCTCTGTAAAAAGTTTTATGGGAATGCTGGAGAGATGGTATCTTCAGTTTATATCCTTGACTTTCTTTCCCTCCTCTTGTAACAAAAAGTGCAGGTAAGCTGCTTGGTCCTAGAAAGTACATTTGAGGTCATACATTCTCCCAAAAGTAGGCAAGGGAACTTAAAAAGCTTATATTTTCTTATCACATTAATGTTTTCACACAACGTGAAAATCAAGAGATGTATTTTCTTGGTGGGAGGGGGCTGAAGAGGAGGGTGCCTGAACTGACTGTATCGAACCATTAAAAAAATACTTTCTGGTTTTTAGTTTTTAGTAATCTTAACTAGATCTGGAATTAGAAGAATGTCATTATTTCAGGGGAGTCTGGATTGTAGATTTGGGATGGGTTGTTGACACTTGTGGGGAACAGGAGACCTAGTTTTACTCAATATGGTCTTGAGGCTGAGTTTCATTTTGTTATTTACTTCATGTGACTTATTTTTATTTTTTCAGTTTTTAATATTTTTTTAACCTCTTTATTGGAGTACATGTGACTTATTTTTAGACTTTAATTTTTGTAGACGGTACATTTTATAGAAATCAGGTCTTCTGAAGTTTTCTATGACTGTTGTCTGTGTGACCCGTTTCCTGGTCATTATGATACAAATGATCTGGTGTGTTGGCATTGAAAAGGGTTATTTCTAATTAGTATTTTATTATAATTAGAAGTTTAAAAATATGTAATGGTAGAGGATCATCCACCTAGAAGATTTAGGAATGAGTGTAGTTCTCCTTGTTCTCCTTCACTTTTGATCAGTTTATGCTTTTGGAATATACTGTAGAATCCTCTTTTTTAATGGTTATTGTACATGCCCACTGGTGCTAATCAACTGCTTTTTGCCTCTTCTGTCTCTTATATATGACCGCTGGTGCTAATTCTTCTTTCCTGTTTGTGGTATTGTTGCTACTTCACCCAGAGCCCATTGCTTGTTTTTTAGTTCATTCATTTCTAATTACCAATGTAGAAATAAGGTTCCTTTATTTATACTTCTGGATATACATATGTTACAAAAGGAGCAAACTTTTCAAATGAAAACACTCCCATTTATAAAAATCAATAAATAATTAAATATACCTTGTTATGTAAAATAGACTTCGGTGTTGTATTTACCTTTTGTATACCATGTGTTAACTTTTCTTTTGAAGTAGTTGCCTTGTACAAATTTAATTTTTCCAGTTGATTATTCTTATTCTTGTATTACATTATGTTGAATTGTACAACTTGAACCGTAGGAATTCTCTCAAGTTGGCTCTTTGACTTACCTCCCCCTTATGTTCTTTAAAACTTATTTCTGATAAGAGTGGGATGTTCTAGATAAATGCTGATTTTCTTATGCCCCAATTCATCTACCTAAATACCTTCCAAGGAGTTCTACTACCTTTTAGTGGTCAATAGTTTAAGAGAAAAAGCTTGTATGGGCTGAGGTTGCATGGAGAGTTGATATTTGGGCAGAGTACTGCTGCTAATGTTGGGCCACTCTTAAAATTGTATACTGTTTGTTTTTAAATATGTGAGTTTACTTTGATCTTTACATTGTGTAATGTATCATGTTGTTTTATTTTTTAATTAATTAATTTATGGCTGCGTCGGGTGTTTGTTGCTACACACAGGCTTTCTCTAGTTGTGGCGAGCAGGGACTACTCTTCGTTGCGGTGTGCGGGCTTCTCGTTGTGGTTGGTTTCTCTTGTTGTGGAGCACGGGCTCTAGGAGTGTGGGCTTCAGTAGTTGTGGCACACGGGCTCAGTAGTTGTGGCTCGCGGGCTTAGTTGCTCCGTGGCATGTGGGATCTTCCCAGACGAGGGCTTGAACCTGTGTCCCCTGCATTGGCAGGCGGATTCTTAACCACTGTGCCATCAGGGAAGTCCCTATCATGTTGTTTTCTGCTTGCTTTTTTTCAGTATGTGGTTTTACTGATTCCCAAAGAAGACTCTATCCTACATTCATATAAGTTATTTTAAGTAATACTAGTTTGGAATCTAATACATTGTATCTAATGTCATGTTGTAAGGTTAGAGACAAAAGAATAATTTACTTTTTCTGCATAATTAAGGAAGATAGCTATATTATTTTGACATTAATCTGATAGAGCAAAATCTTTAGGAGAAAAATAGTGTAGCATGAATGAGATCTTCTCAAGAAGCCAAAAAAGTTGAAAAAACTTATTCTTGCTGAGGTTTTGTAATGAATACAAAATGCGTTAAGATATTTAGCTATTATTTATGCTTATTTAGAATAGTAAGTAACACATGTCTTGAGCAGGCAAAAAGGCATGGTTAGTTTATATGTGGGGATTAGGGTTTTCCAGCATGTTGTTACATGTTTAAGAGCAAGAAGAACACCATTAAGCAAAGTAGCATTACTCTTAGCCGTATTTAGATATTTTAGATATATTTTTAGATATTGTGTAGGTGCGTTTATTTTGAAGAGGTTAGTCTTTTATTATTCTGATATGTAGATATTTATTTCAGTAGATTTCTCCCTAGGCAAACTTTTGGGTAAAGAAGTGAACACATAAATATTCTCTCCCTTTATTTAGCTCTTGTAGAATCATGGATCTCTAGAACTGAAAGGAACCCTAGAATTTACCTTACCCTTTTTATAAAAGAAAAGGAAATTAATGGCCAGAGGAATAAAAGTACAGTTTTTTTCAATTTTTAGTTTTCTTGATTCAAAGTAATTCTTATAAAAATAGTCATTATGTTATATTGTAAATATGTATTTCAACACAGTGACTTTTCAGAAAACTTATCTAGGCACTGTATCCCTGGTACTAAGCCTCTAATTTGTTGAAATATAATTTAATATATTTCCTATTACATAATGCTGTCTTTTTGTGTTTGAAATTTCCTTTTTCTGAGAAAAATAGGCTGCATGCCTCTTGATGTGTTGGCATTGCCATGGCTATGTTCTTAAAACTAGCCTCCGCTTGAGTAAATTTAGTTTTAAATATTACTTCCCCAGATGGATTGTCTAGAGCTTAATCTATTAAAATCCTTACTTTATAGTATGCTATTTTCTATGGTACAGCACTAAATTAATACTGTACTTTTTTTCCCCATCATCATCTTCCCATTGTTTAAGAGTTCTTGAAGCCAGCATAGCAGAAAATAAAGCATGTTTGAAGAGGACACCTACTGAAGTTTGGAGAGATTCTCGAAACCCTTATGATAGAAAAAGGCAGGACAAAGCTCCTGTTGGACTAAAGAATGTTGGCAATACTTGCTGGTTTAGTGCTGTTATTCAGGTAAGAGTCTTTATGCAGATCTTATTTGGTGGGCCTGACAGCAGTGGAAAGTGGGTTGGGGTTGTGTTTCTTTTAAGCTGTATACTTTATATATAACTGCAGATCAGGTTTTGGTATGCCTTTCTGTCTACTAACCTAGTTTGGGGATTGCAGTATTCCGAACCACCCCACTTTGTTCCTCACTCCCAGTATGGAGTTTTAATGATAGAACACTACCTAATGCCTTATTCAGAATTAATTTTTCCTCCTTCCCATTTGTTGGGAATTGTCAGAGTGGAAAGAAAATATTTTTGTATATAAATCCCTGCAAATTTAGGGAAGGATGTAACCAAGGTATGAAACCAAAACTGGTTTTTTTTTGTGAGTCAGATCAGAATTATTTATATATAATGGAAAATATCATTCAAGAATTACAGTCATTTAAATACTATTTTTATGTAAGAGAGCATTTTATTTGAGGAGGGAACAGATTGACAAATAATTCTCAATACATATGTGAGAATGACGTAAAGAATAAATGTTGATAAATAAAGAATAACATATTTTCTTTCTAACTTGGAAAGGCCTTAATGAAATGTTTCTTGAGCTCCTTATTCTAAAACGAAAAATGTTTGTATGCATAGATATCCATCATCTTCTCAGTTTGGACTAGTTTTCTTTTTTTTTTTTTAGACTTTTATGTGATATAACTTTTGTCATAAATCTTTACCATTCTCAGACATTGATAATGTTATCTGTCAAATTGTAAAATGTTAAAGTCTCCTTAAATAAAACAATCTATGAATAACATGCTTTTAATTTTAATTGCCATTTAGGAAAATTAATGTTTGTGCTTATTTAATGTATTTAATACAGCGGAATTGTAGCTTATTTATTATTTCTGATGAGTACTTTTTAAATCATTAGATGTTTTCTAATTTACATTCTTTTACATTCAAAATATCTCTTCATTTTGTACTTTTCCAAAACTGTATACTGCGTAAACTTTCATATGATATTAATGCAACTCACAGGTTATTAAGTTCATTTCTACAAGGCTGTTAATTGTGTTCTCGAGGCGATTAACCTGTAGTTTTAACTTTTTTTCTACTTCCGTGTTATAATTTGCAACTCTTTTCTGCCTTTCTGGCAAATAATATTATATTATTTGATTTCCTTTGGTTTTCTGGATTTATGCCTCACTTTTTAATAAACTGTGGTATACACTAGTTAATAATATGCTATGTTATTTGTTTTCCAGCCTATTAAAATGTTAAGGAATACCTGGATTAGCATAAATCTGTGATGATACTTTTGTTCTTGGCCTTGAGTATGCATTAATTGTTCACTTACATGCCAACAATATCTCAAACTTTATTTGCTATTTTAATCTCTTAGATCTTCTTAATAGGCTATCTTGCTTTACTTGCACTGTTAGTAAGGGCTTTTTTGCATTTCATTGTTCAATCTAAATTTCATAATTTAGTCATCATTTTAAAATATGAAGCACAGTTTTAAGGCTCTGATCTGAGTGTTTATGAGTATGCTTTGCAGCCTGTATTTGGACAAGTAGATGCTACCTTTACACTATTACAGCCAGTAAATGAGGCTCATTGATTAGCTGTTTCTCTTAGAAAACTATAAGAAGTAAGAAAGTGCTTCTAAAGAATCAATAGTTTAGTTAGAATAAACACCTAGGAGAAGTAACTGCTAACCTTGAAAAATTTGGATTATAATAAAGTAATAAGATACTGACTTGGGGATGTAGAAAAACGTTAAGCTTCAGAGTTCAGAAAATTGTGGATGGGAAGAAAAATTTATCTGGAGATAACTTTGTTTTGTTTTTGAATGTAATTTTAAAGTCTCTTAACCCATTTTAAGTACCTTTTACTTTTCATTTCTAGTAATTGAAATATTTTATTTTTTCATTTCTTGACATTTGCTTAATTTCACAGACATCTGAAATATAGCAGTTTATCATCATAAATGGAACTTTTCACTTATGAAAGAAAATTTGGATAGGAAATCTGTTTTAGTGTTGGAAGTTTTTAAATTGTATTTTCCAAAGCAAAGTGGAACTTGTTCAGGCTGTGACATAAATGTACTGTGAAGTTTCAATTACAGACTTTTCTCAGGGATGGAATTTATTATACTTAGTTGGTAAGACTAGTATGAAACAACAGGGAATTCTTTTCTTTGTAAGTATTTCTACCAATTATAGTAGTTTACTGGGATTATAAATCTCTAACTTCAGAGTAGGTAATGAGTATAGGCTACAGAAGGCACAGCTTTGTTATATTTGTTCCTTTAGGTACTGAGACCTAAGTATTTTGGAAGAAAAGGGGAACAGAATATCAGAAAGAGACTGTAAGCAAGGAGAAGGTTGTACAGAGAATGGCTTACATAATCTTTTGGATGCTAATAATATTAGCCTGACTGTCTTTAGCTTGGATATCAACCAGTTATCTAGTCAGGACTATTTTCATCCTGTTCAAAAGGAACTTGTATGTAGAAAGTACTAATTGGGGCTGCTTTTTCCACTAGGGTGTCAGTGAATTAGGTAGTTACTTATAGGAATATGTTCTCCTCTTTCTCTGGTTTGGGGTGTTAAGTTCAAGTAATCCATGGATTCTCATGATAAACCTTAGCACCGTTCCCATTTGGATGCCTCTGAGATGCTCAGAAGTAAGGTGCTCATACTTCTCAGTTTGCCTGGTACAGTCCCAGTTTACTCACATTGTAGATCTATCAGCACCTATTAATTAGTCTCGAAGCCCTTTTTCATACTCAGAAGGGTTATGGGTTGGATGATAAAGTACATGGTCACCTTATGCATAAATTATGAAAGTCTAAGTTGACTAAAATACACGCATCCTCAGGGCAGGGAGCACATCATCTAGGTTACTGTTCTGTACCAGTGTATAGTAGAGTGTCTGACACGTTGGAGGAACCCTTTAAGTAATTACTGAGTTAGTAAATGAATGAACTGCAAAGGAGCATATATTACTTATGGTGGAATTGAAGACTTAAGATGCTTCTACCACTCTAATATATTAAGAGTATGGTATTGAAAAGGTGCTGCAAGTTTTCAAAACATTTCAGGATATCATTTAACGTGTTTTTCATAGCACTTGCTTTTGTCTCTAATTTTCATCAAAGAACATGAGTACATAGTTCAAAGAGAAAACCAAAAATCCCATAGCAATAAATGCCTTGTGAAAAATAGCAGTCCTCTGCTCCAAACCACCCTGCCTGAGAAGCATAGTCCTGCTTCTTAAAGGCATGTACAACCAATTCTAGCTGTTTCTCTTGCTATCTTTGTTTTTCTAAATGACATGCCTTTCTGCAGAGATAGATGAGGATTTAGCTCTTTCATTTCACCTACCTAGAATTGCCTTTCCTTTCATCTCCCAACATAGTTATATCAGCAGTTAAAAATAGTCAGTAGTCAGTGTTTACATTTTCTTTGACTTTGTAGACATTATAGTGGTTTACTAAGACTACCCCTCTGTAATTCTTTGTTTTCCTGGAGTTGTCAGTCGCCACCTTTTCTTCTTTCTGTTTTCTGTATGCTTATTTATCCTTAAAAATTTCCAGCTGCTTCAACCTCTCTTTTGAGGTATTATCGATAGTGTGTTTAATATACTCAAACATCTCAAACATGTTAACTCTTTTCTTTTCTTTTTTTTTTTTTTTGGTGAGGGGAATCCTTTACAACATGAGATTTCTGTGCCTCAAATCCAGACTGGATCCTGATTTTTTTGTGGTTTAAGCATGGTTGCTAACTTTCCAAAAGCAGGTCTAGAGAAAGGGAATTGGGGAAGGGACAGTTGGGGGTCAGTTGGCAGGCTTTTACTTAACCCTATTTGTAGCCCTGAATCTCATCCTACCCTGAAATACACTATGACTGATTTTTATGAACCTGAGTCAGTTAAATTATATTCAAAGTTTAAATTTTCCTGTATTCCACAGGAAGAGAGAGAGAGTACTTGTCTGATGCTTCTCAGTCTGGGAAGGACATAGGGCTTTAATTGCTCTGTGTACAGACTTTCAGTTTTTAATCCTGCCAGTCTGTTTCTGTCTCACGTTGAAACTTATCTGATACCATTTCATTTTTTAAAAAATCCACCAAGGAGAATTTATGTTGCTTTTCCTTAGTATTTTTCACTATAGACAGTTTATGTCTCCCTTTGCTCTCTTGTCATCACTCTTTGTTTTCCACAAATTATGTATTTAAACTCTCATCTTCCATTAGCTCTCTGAAATTAGCAAGAGTTTAACCAAACTCTACTTTAACAAATTTCAAAATTGACACATTAGCTTTGGACTGAATGAAAGTATACTTGTTTTCATTGTGTATGACTCACAAACACAATTTAGGCAGTAGTGACGATTACTCTTTCGCACCCTAGTGACGATTGCTCTTTCCCACCCCTTTTGAAGGAATGTGTTGACTAATACCACTATGCCTGATTTATGGTATAGATTGGTACTTAAAATAAATTTCTATGATTTGTTGTGATAATCCATGGTCACAAATTCTACTTTGGTTAGTAACATATTAAGTTGTTTTTGGACATCTACCTGCTCATATTTTGCTGGAGTCCAAAACAAAACAAAAGAAAAATGAAATCAGCTTTTTGAAGGCATCATAAACCCTAAAGCAGTGAGGAATTTTGAGGCTACACTTTGAGAGAACAAGAATTTCAGAGAGTGAGGAATTTTGAGGCTACACTTTGAGAGAACAAGAATTTCAGAGAGTAAGCTTCACATTTTGGGCTGATTTTATCTTTGAGGCAATTTCAGGAGTGACTGCTGATTGGCTGGGGAGCTAAGCAAAGTTTCACACAGGCTTGGAGCCCTAGGAAACACCTCAGATTTTCAGTTAAATTCTAAAGGGCTACACCCTAGAATAACTGAGAACTGAAAAATAGGCCAGGCTTTATAATTTGTGAATCCCAGCTTGAGATTTTCTCAGAATTGATTGGGTTAAGATGATCTATGCTTGCAAGTAGTCCCAGTTTTGCTGCCTGCCAGAAGGAAATGTAAATTCTGTTAGAAGATACTATCATCTCGAACTTAGAATGTTCTCCAGTGGTTTTTTTTTGTTTGTTTGTTTGTTTTTTTTTGTGGTACGCGGGCCTCTCACTGTTGTGGCCTCTCCCGCTGCAGAGCACATGCTCCGGACGCGCAGGCTCAGCGGCCACGGCTCACAGGCCCAGCCACTCTGCGGCATGTGGGATCTTCCCGGACTGGGGCATGAGCTCACGTCCCCTGCATCGGCAGGTGCGCTCTCAACCACTGCGCCACCAGGGAAGCCCCTTTTCTCCAGTTTTTTACATACAATGTCTAGCACTCAAATAGGTCATAATTAGTTATATCAGAAAATAAGACATGTCCAAAAATTAAGAGAAAATAATGGATAATTAGAAATATACCTACAGGGAAACCTAAAAATCGAATTATTTGTTATGTAACTATTACTATGCTCAAGGAATTAGAAGCGTGATTGAGAATTTTGATAGAAAACTAAAAACTATAGAAAGAACAAAATAGAATATTTTGTTCAAAACAAAATATTTCTAAAATAGAAAGTTTAGAACTGAAAAATATGATAAATGAAGTTAAGATATCAGTGGAAGAGTTTAGCAGGATACAGACACACTGAAGAGAGAATTAGTCAACTGGACAGTTTGTGGAACATGTTCACACTAAAGCCATGAGATACCGATGAGAGCACATAAGTGATATTTTGGACATGGTGTAAATTGTACTAACACAATTTATTTTTGGTTCCAGAGGGAAACTAAAAGGGAAATAGGATAAAAACAATATTTGAAGAGATGACAAAGAATACTCCAAGCTTGATGAAAGAGATGAAGCCACAGATTAGGGAAGCAATAGGAACCAGGTAGTATGAACATAAAGAATACTACACCAAGGCACATAATAGTAAAACAGACAGACACTCTAGACAGAGAAAATACTAAAAGTAGCCAGATAGAAAAGGTGTATCGCCTCTATGAAGGAGCAAAAATAAGACTAATGGTTGACTTCTCAACAGAAATGCTATCTTTAAAGTTCTGGGAAAAGTTAACTGGCTGTCTAGAATTCTATAACTAGCAAAAATCTTTTAAAAATGAAAAAAAACCCCCACAATTTTCAGTTTAGCAGAAGCTGAAATACTTTGTTACCACGAGACCCACACCAAAGGAAATTCTAAAGGGTGTTCAGGAAGAAGAAAAAAGTTTTCCAGCGGGAGCTCAGAGCATAGAAGTGGGATTCAGATTCTCCAGATTTGTCAGTATTCTCTTTCCTATTTAAATTCCTTTTAAGAACAGTCTGTACTTTGTCCCCCTTTTATCCCATTTCTTCAGGACTCATTGCTGCTATTCTGCCATTCTACCATTCTACTGGAAAGGTGACTTCCCAATTTACAAGTCTAAAGGTTATTTTCTTGCCCTTACCTTACTAGAATGTGGCAACCTTCAACCTTTGCTAATCTTGTCCTTCATGAAATTTGCCAGTGATTCTTGGATGTACTCCAGAATCTTCTTTGGTACTTTATATCTTTGTTGAGAGGTTCCTGACATAGGAATTTTTAAAGCTCTGTGGTTATTCTGATACACAGCTATGTTTGAAAGCATTTTCTACTCCTTTTTCTTCTGTGATCTCATACTCCACACTTCCTTTACTATTTTTATTTTGTCTTTCTTATAGCTCTTTTTCCTCTGGCTTTTAAATGCTGCTTCCTTAAGTTTCTGATTTTGGTCTGTTATTGTACATATTATTTCTGACTTATAACATCTGCTCTCATTGTTTTGACTTGCAATAACAAGATAGTACAAGGGCAGAGACTTGATATATTTTATTCTCTGCTGCCTGTCTTCCTTGTGTCTGGCATGTAGTAGGTGCTCCATAAATGTTTGTTAAATGAATGAATAAATAAATGAATATGTTCATATTGTTTAATTAAAAAAATACTTCAGATCACAATTATCAGTTTTATGGTTTTACCTTTCATATTTACGTCTTTAATCCACATCTATATCTATATATGACTATTTATATATAGTGGACCAGTTTTCCCAACACCCAGTGCTAAACAAAATCTTGTTTTCTTATGGATTTGTGGTGCTATTTTTATTTTCTAGCAAGTTGGCTAACCCATCTTTTACTAAGATTTAATACATTATAACCTCCAGTGCAATGATTTTCAAACTTTATAAACTGTGACTCACAGAAAGGAATACGTTTTACATTGTAAAACACTTTACACATACATATGTATGTAAAAATATCACCAATGCAAATTTTACAAATGATACTCTGGTGAATTGACTGTTTATGACATGTTCTGATATTTTCCATTATATTTTATTTCAGTTTTTAAAATTAATGTTTATCATGATGATGTTAATGGGTTACAAGCTATAGCTTAAAAACGTAGCTGTAGGAAGCTTTTTCATGAGCTTCTTTCACATGCTTTCATTATGCTCTACATGATCAATATTACTGTATTTTGGAGTAACACTGCTATTGTTATAATTAAATATCTGTCTCCTTTCTAGGTTGTGTGTCTCCTTGACCATTAGCGATAATACATAATTTCTTTGTGTCTCTATCACCTAGCATCTGGCCCATAAATTTATTTGTACTATATTTTTGTAGAATTGATACCTCTAGAAAACTCATACTGAACATAACATGTCTAAAAAGTTCTCAACTTTGCATTTGTGTAGATTTTATTTTGAGGAAACTGCTTAGGCACATAGTAACATAAAGAAAGGAAACTTTTAATAATATATATTATGTTTTTTTGAGTTGTCCACGTATAATTTTCTCCTTTGCAGTACCGTAAATATTGTTAATGATCAAGAATAATATGTCAAAATAAAAGAAATGTGACTTTTTCTCAGGGAGAAAATAGGCCTTCTTGTGCTAGTGGGAAATATTCTGTATATAAAATAAATCTCTCAGGCCAGTCATATTTTTATAGTTCTGTTAGTAGAATTTTCCCTTTGGTTATCTTAAATTGTTGTTCTTTTTCAGTCATTATTCAATCTTTTGGAATTTAGAAGACTAGTTCTGAATTACAAGCCTCCATCAAATGTTCAAGATTTACCCCGAAACCAAAAGGTAAAATTATGAAAAATTTTTAAGCAGAGTATATATGGTCTTCATATTCTTTTATCTGTGCTTGCTTTTGGGAAATTTGCCAAATCAAATCTGAAATAGTGTCAAATTTGAATGTGAACCTATTAATCTCAGCTACAACAGTAACTTCCTATTCTTGGTTAGTATATTGTAATTATGAATTTTTCTTCACCTGTGTGTCAGTAATAGGCCAATTTTTTGTTTCACTTTAGTAATTGCTTTTTTCTTCTTTTTTTTGGATGTCAAATTTCAGTAAATTTTATAGGTTACCATTTACAATTCAAGGTCTTTACTCAGTTGCCTCCTGAAAAATTGTGTGGAAATCAGAAATTTATCAGTTATTTCTGTAGATGAGCTCTTTAAAAGGTTAGTTTTGCACTGGTTGTCTTTGCAGTGCGAATCTGTAACTTCTAATATTGTTAGGCAATATGATGTGACAGAGAGCACAGGCATCAGGACCACATTTCCTGGGTTCTGGCTGTGGACCTGCTTGATCTAGTTACTGCTCATTTTCCTTATCTGAAAAGCATAAATAATAACAGCTGTTATTTTATAGAGTTGCTGCAAGAATTAAATGAGATAAAACACATAAAGGACTTAGAAGTACCTGGTACATAGTAAGTACTAGGTGTTAGCTATTGCTAGTTATTATACTGTTCATATTAGCTTTTCAAAAGATAGGACTGATTTGCACACAGAAATTCATACTTAATGAAAAAAATTAATTATGGAGATGATATCCTTGAGTGTAAGACTTCAGTGATCTTGTCATAAAGAAACTGTAGCCCTAAAGGGGACTGGTTGCAAAGACAAAGAAGTTATAGGTTTCAGTAGAGTGTTGAACTTTGTGTGACCTATTGTTAATAGTAATAATACATTATTAAATTATGTTTTCCTTTTAGTATCTAATTTTGAGAACTACTTTTCCTGCAAACATGTGAAACATTTATAATGCTAGCTAGTGGGAATATATTTTGATTTATAACCAGCTTTTCAGGCCATAATCTCTGGCCATAAAGTGTCAGACTGATAAGCCATTTTCAAAAGGGAAGCAAGATCACCTGACCAACTACTCATACTTCCAGAGAAATTAAGCAGACACCTTTCAGTCATTACAGTTTTTACATGAAACTTTTTGGACTGTTGCCTCCCTCTGTCACAATTTGGTAAGTTCGTTGCTCTGATGTCTTGGTTGAAGTATATTTATAATTCACGATTATTTAGAATTATTACTTGCAATTAGAAAGATATCTAGATAATCCCCCTAGTACTTGGAAATTATTTACACCTCTAAATAATCCCAGGAACAAAGAACAAGTCAAAGAAGAAATTTCAGGGTATTCTGAACTGAATAAAAATTAAAACATGATGTATCAAAATGAGAGGGATTTAGTTAAAACAGTGGTTAGTGGAAGATACGTGAACTAAATGCCTTATTAGAAAATAAGAATTGTTTCAAATTAATGGCATCAGATTGCATCAAGAAATTAGGGGGGAAAAGCTTGTTAATTTGAAAGCAGAAGAAAGGAAATAATTAAGACAAGTACATAAATCAATGAATTAGACATCAGGAAAACAGTAGAGAAAAATTAATGGAACCACAAGCTGCCTCTTAAGAAAGTTGGTAAAATTGATAACCTTCTAAGTAGACTGAGTAAGGAAAAAGAGAGAAGAAACAAATTACCAAAATAAAGAATGAAAGAGGGGCACATCACTGCATATTCTGTAGACAATAAGAGAATAGTGGAATATTATACACAACAGGCAAATATTTTAAAAGCTAACAGCTATTGACACTGATGAAAAGATAGATAACCTGAGTATCTCTATATTATATTAAAGAAATTGAATTTTTAGTTAACCTACCCACCAAAAAAAAAAAAAAAATCAGTAGCAGCAAGGTTTATTGGTGAGTTATACCAAACATTTAAGGAAGAAATAATAGCAGTTCTCTACATGTTTTCCCAGAAAATTGAAGAAGAGATAAAACTTCCAAATTTACTCTATGAGACCAGCATTATGCTGAAACCAAAAGTAGAAAAATATATTTCAAGAAAAGAAAACTACAGACCAATATTCCTCATGAATAACAGAAGAAAAAATTGTCAGATTTTTGTCAAGTTGAATGCTGTAGTACATATAAAGGATAATAATACCTCATTGGCAGGTGGAGTTTATCCAGGACTGAAAGATTGGTTTAGTGTTCAAAAATCAGTATAATTCATCATATTAACATATTAGACAAGAAGAGCCGTATGACTATCTCAGTAGATGAAGAAAAAGTATTTGAAGAAAGCTAACATATTTATGGCAAAATCTCACAGAAACTAGGAATAGTAAACTTTTTATCCTGATAAAACTCATTTAGGAGAAACTTACAACTAATTATAATACTTTATGGTGTAAGACTGAACCCTTTTCCTCAAAGATCAGGAACAAACAAGATGTCCCTCACCACTTTTCTATTAAACATTAGACTGGAGTTCTTAACCAGTGCTGTAAGGTAAGAAAAAGAAATAAGCATGCAGATTGGAAAGGAAGAAACAAAGCTGTCTTTTCATTTATATGACTATTTAGAAAATCCTAAGTACTCTACTAAAAAAAAAAGACGCTAGAATCAAGAAGTGAGTTCATTCAGCAGCATTACATGATACAAGGCAAACATACAAAAATCAACTGTATTTCTTAATACTAGCAACACACAATTGGGAATTTAAATTTAAAAGTACTTATGTAAGACAGTGTAAAATATGGAATATTAGAGATAAAATAGACAAAAGATATGGAAAACTACAAAACATTGCCGAGAGAAATTAAAGAAATAAAGAGATATACTATGTTCATGGATCAGGGGATTCAATTTTTTTAAGATATCAGTTGTCCCCAGTTTAATCTATAGAGTCAGTGCAATCCAGTTATAATCCCAGCAGGCATTTTTATAGGAATTGACAAATTGATTGTAAAATCTATATGCAAAATCAAGGGATGTGGAATAGCCATAGCAGTTTTAAAGAGAAAGGCAGTGTTGGAGGAATTAATTATTTGGCTAATGATCAAGACACTGTGTTATTGGTGAAAAGATAGTCATATAGATCAGTAGAACAGAATAGAGAGTCCAGAAACAGAACAACACATATAGGGGTAATTGGTTTTTTTTTTTTTTTTTCTTGCGTTATGCGGGCCTCTCACTGTTGTGGCCTCTCCCATTTGCGGAGCACAGGCTCCGGACGCGCAGGCTCAGCGGCCATGGCTCACGGG